CTGTTGTTTTTCCTGCTGATGATGTTTCTGAAAATATGTCAGAAACATCATCTGATTATTTATTATCAAATCGGCGTTTTCATCTAAAAACGCTCCGTATCCACACTATTGTTTTCAATCGTTTTCATCCACACACATGCTACGTTCCCGTTCTGTGCATGCATGAAACCCAAGACCATTCGACCTGCATCATTTCCGTCTGCCGTTTATTCACTTTCCGGCTCTGTTGCGGCAAAATGTTGAGGAAAAGTGCCGAGTTTTATCTGGAGCTAGCATGTACAAACTGATAATCTTTAATAGGGCTGTCAAAATTGACAGCAAACAAAACAACTGCTGTACAATGTTGTCCGCCATCTTAGTAGAATTTTTTATTTTTTTTGCCTGTCCCATTTGGTTCTTTAGCCGTCAGAATTGTTGTCTGAAGACCAACAAGGATACCCAATGGATTTATTTTGCCAAATGGATCATCACGGCATTTCCGTATTGGTCCATTTGATCGACCTTTGTTTTTATTATTTATTTTATTTTATTTTCAGTTGTTACAGACGGGACAGACATGAGTGAGGGATAGGAAAGGGAGAAAGAAAGAGGAAGGAAAAGAAAAACAGAAGGGGAGAGGGACAGTGAGAAAGGGGAAAAAGAAATCTCCTGGATCACCTGTTGAGAGAGAAAGAATAGAAAAAAAGCAAAAAAAAAACCCAAAGCAACATACTAAACACAACACCATCACATTAATCTAGCTAAGTGTAAACAGCTGTAAATACTAAATATTCAATGTTGCTGTGCAGCACGCAGGACAGACAGCGCACAATGTGCTTTGAAATTAGCAGCCAAGAAAGGTGTAATTTAAGTCTACGAACAGTGAACACGCGTGTGCACACCTGTGTGGATCAGCGCGCTTGTATTCAAAAGGTTTCCCCATGTAATGGTCTGCTAGAGGATGTAGAGAGCCATAGCCCCGTCCCCCAGGGCATGAAGCAGGCATGGAGGAGATCCAGGCCCCAGACATCCAGAGGCCCCAGAGTGCGAGAGCCCAAGGAGGACCACTGGAGGGGCATCCGTGCCACCCTCATGGGAAGGGCTGCGGATCCCCAGACAAGGCATCACCCAGTAGCCACCGAGCAGAAGCTATAGGGGGCTGCACCGGCTGCCGGCAGCCAGCTGTGCCAGAGTGAACCGAGCTGCAGGCCCAGAGGCTTAGTAGAATTGATCACATGACTGCATCATATGACTAAAATGTGCAATCGTTTTCAAAAGCCTCCGTTTTCGCTGTCCACACTGCGATACGAAACCAGCGTTTTCAAATGTATCCACTTTGGAGATCATTTTCAAAAAGCTCAGTTTTCCTTGACCAAAAACGCCAAAACGGAAAGAAAAAGATGAATTTTCAAACAAAAAAACGTATTAGTGTGGACATGGCCTCAGTGGGTCAACGGAACATCTGGCACAGGACAGCGGTGATGAAAGAAGGGGAGGAATTGTCTCCAAATTTCTGGACCCAGGTAACCACACCCAGCCTGGCTCTGATGGTCTTCTTCCAACATTTTGGAAATCTGCCCCATCTCCCTGGGGCAGATTTCCCCCCAGGGTCTGGGGGGAAATCTGCTGTTAAATAAAAGGACAAATTACATTCCTATAAAACTTTCCATTTAAACTTTTCTATCTACATACTATCAGGCAGGAGAGAGCTCTGTGAGTGTGTGATGGATGCCAAACTGTCAAACTGAATGAGCTTGTTTTCTATCATCCTCATTCATATGGTAAAGTGTCAAAGGACAGCATTTAATTTTAAGTTGTGATAATTACAACACTATAGGCCTGTGTAATGTGTAATGCTTGATATAATCTCTTTGTCTAAATTGAGAATAACAAAAAATAATAAGGGATTATTATTCAAACATATTAACTATGACAGCAACACAGGTGTGTAGAATTGCTAAAAAGCCTCGAACACAGTGTAGCACTAGCTAGATGCTAACGGCTATTCTAGCTAATGAATTAATCAGTAGAGGCTACAGAATGATGTGAGCTGTGCTGCTTTTTAAAAGCAGTGATATGGCTGCATTTACATTAGTTTAATAGTCAGTTGCTGTAAAACCACCAGCGGACATTGTTAAAACTGTTAAAAGCTGTAAAAAGTGCAGAGGGGCGTGTTCCCAGTCACCTCCAGCGGGTGAGTGGGTGGAGTTCAAAGCAGCAACTCCACCCCAGAGTCACTACTGTGCAACTCAGGCTCCAAACAGCAAAACACAGTAGCCATGATAAACAGAGCTTCATTTTTGTACAGTGGGAGGAATCACGTTGGAGCCACGTTGTCTATCTTTGATACGATCATTGTGTTGAGTCCTACACTCGCAGCATTTTCTCCATGTTGTCTCAAAAAGCAACATTTTTAGCATATTTGCTGAGCACATCGACACATTTCCTAACCATAAGCCTAGTCTGATGTCAGCTGGATGTATGCTAGTGTATTGTACCAAAATTGCACTGATTTATTTGACTTTATTAGTGACTATCTTAGACATATATAAAAGGTACTGGTGGAGTGGGCACTAAAACACACTTGGGTAAACACGTTTTAAAAAAAAATTCTGCTCGTGTTAAGCTGAGCTCAGACACAGACTGTATTTAAAAGATGGAAAACATAGCGTAAGATCAGCAATTGTTTTGTGAAATCTTGTTGTGAATTTATGAAGTGTCTTAGGTGTTACCATGTTGATGTAACCAGACATGATAAGTGAGTGGTGGAGCTGGCAGAAAAACCAAAGGATACTGGAAACCCATATGATTATAACATGTCAATTACAAAGTAACCAGACCCTAAAGCACAATTTCCTTTTTGTTATTTTAGACTGTAATAGGGATCAGAAGTGTATAGGAATTTATTTTATTTATGTATTAATCACATTATTTTATTGTATGATGCCTTGGTGCCACTGGATTTCAACAAGTCTCACACTCATACAGTAAGACAAATGGTGGGGGTCTAGTGAGGAAGTTGGGGGAAGCAGACAACTCCACAGGAAGAGTCTTTTGTGTCTTCTGGGACTCTGGGAGGTAGCAAGGGAGTGTGAACCTTAAGGTGTGAAACAGCTGTGTACTGCCTTTTGTTCCTGGAGAAGGTATTTAACTGAGAGCCATGCTGGGCTCAGGGAGACTCTGCTGACGGTCTGCCCCGCGATCATGCAGGGACTTCATCAAGCTTGGGTTTTCTGTTCTTTGTGATTTGATTAAAGAATGTTAGCTACCGCTCACCGCTTGTCTGCAGGCTTTATTTAATGGAAAACTTCCACAACAGACATCAGATTGCATTCAGTATGTCAAAGGGTTCATTTAAGAGGACCCAAACGCTGAGGACAGAAATCATATTTCAAAAGACGAGCCGTTTATTAAGGTGAAACACAAAGACACAAAATAGGAGAAACCAAAACCAAAGGCTGACTCTAAACTGGGAAAAACTAAACTAACAGCAAAGCGCAGGGAACATGGAAAAACTACGGACCGAGAACATGGGGGAGACAAACAGACGACCTGCGAACAAACCAAGGAAAACAGAAGACTTAAATGCATAGAAGGACAGTGAAGGAAGTGGAAACACATGGGGAACAAAATGGATGTGACACCACAGGGGAACTGAACATACTGAACATGGACCACGACACTATTAAAATAAAACAGGAAACACAGAGACGTAGAGTGACACATGAGCTTGACACAGGAGGAAATGCAGATGGGAGAGGGAGCAAGGGATCACGAGAGAGAGAGGACAAGAGAGCACCAGAGAGAGAGACATGATGGGCTGGGGAATTATGGAATAAACATGACCGACAGGGGAGACATGGAATGACACACAGGAAGGGGAGACGAGACATCTCGACAAGACACCAGGGAAACGGAAATATAACTAAACAATAGAGAGAACTCAGTAATCAAAAAATAGAAAAACAACCGAAACAACACCAAGAGCACAGTTTTGTGGGTATTACAACACACATAAAAGCGCCATAAACTCAAAAGGCTGGGTCAAATGGCCCAGAACATTGACACAATTAGGCTTGAAACAGGTTAATCAACTCAACATAAAAATGTTGAGTCACCCCCAGATTGTCAAAGGAAATATTTTGGGTCTAAGGTACTTGTTCATTAGCTTCAATTTTCTGGATTGGAAGCTACATTAATGTTTTATATACACTCTATGACCTAACTTCAAATCTTTATGCATAGTTGTGCTCCACCCCCACCAAAAAAAAGAGCTATATCTCACACTCAGCAGACATCGGTCTCGATATTAATGTTTGTGATAGCTCAATTATTAAAACACTAATCAAGTATGGTTTGTTTGAAAGCACCTCATACCAAACTTTCAGCATGATGGTGAAATGGATGAATTAGGCTGTTTTTGCAATCACAGGCTTTGTCGCCTTTCCATCATTTAATCAACCATGAAATCCTCTTAATATCAAAGTATTATAGTGTAAAGTTTGAAGCCATCTGTAAGACAGCTGAAGTGTGAACAAAAGTGAGACAGCCTACAGGACAATGATCTCGTGCACACCAGCAGTAAAGGTGCTGCAATGCCCCAGGCACACAAACTTGACTGAAATGGGTGACATATATATGTATATGTATATATGTGTCACCCATTTTATGTTATTGTAGTTGATAAAGATGTTGTTTGTATGATGCATAAACAGCACGACCAGTTAGCATGAAGACAATGATGGAAATTTAAAGGTGTTTTTGTGAGAGTGTTTTGGTTTACCGTAATGCCTCTTTTGTTTACTTTCTGTGAGTTACAGAAACCCACTGTAAAAGAAAACTGTGCTCTTGGTGTTGTTTCGGTTGTTTAGGCCGGAAAGATGATTGATATAATTTCCATTGTGGTAGTAGAACGGAGCACCAACATAACAAACAGCCAATCAGATTGCTCTGAAATTGTTCCCTCCCACTTGATGTGATTATATTAAGGAGCATCATCTTAGTATGCCTAAATGTAAATGAGTCACAAGTAAATCCATCAGAAAATGCTGATTGTATTTTATATGCTGCTGGGCTTCAGAGCTGGTCGTAAGTTTAGAGTCGGCTTTTTTCCATATATATTTCTCCAATTTAACATGTGCAATATAGAACTCTATATCTAACTGCTCTGTTTAATTTGACTTTCAGGATGCACTGATTATGTGTTTTTTGGAACGAAGACTATTGGTGTTGGAGAAAATGTGACCCTGACATGTGAACGCCCGACATCTGAATATGAAGCAACCTTGTATTGGATCAGGATTGTTTCTGGAAGCTGGCCTGAATTCTTGGGAGGAACATTTACCTTTGATTATGACGGTGTTAACACCACTCCTCACATTACAGCAAAGCAAGAACCTGGAACCTTTATTCTGGAAATAAGTCAAACTAGGCTAAGTGACACTGGTCTTTATTACTGCATAAAAGTGGACCAACTGGACATGGAATTTTTAAATGCAACATTTTTAAAAATTAAAGGTAAACAGAACTGATTATTTCTTAAACATGTTTACAAATCAATATCTAACTAAAATGAGTAAAACATGACTTTATTGATTTATGTATTTATATTAACAGTTACTTAATTATTTTCTAAGGGCCAGAGACAGCTATCACTGACATCATTCAGATGCCTCAATCTGGTCCCCTCCATCCGGGAAACCCAGTGACTCTGCAGTGTTCAGTCCTCTCTAACCCAGAGAACAGTGCATGTCCTGGAAATGACAGTGTGTTTTGGTTCAGCACTAGATCTGATAACTCTCACCCCAACTTGATTTATGCTGATGGAAACAGTGATAAATGTGAGAGGAGTCCAGAGGCTTCCTCCACACAGAAATGTGTCTACAGCTTCTCCAAGAATGTCAGCTCCTCTGATGCCGGGTCGTACTACTGCGCTGTGGCCACATGTGGACATATAATTTTTGGAAATGGAATAAAACTGGATGTTAAAGGTAACTTTGAAGAATTCTATAATAATTTAGAATAGGCTAGTTTAACATCAGCGTAAAAGTTTTTTTTCCCAGTTTATAATGTCACTAAAAGTAATAATTATTACTGGGTGCTTTTATTTTTCCAGGACTCAACATGTGGGACTTGCAAAAGGCCAATACAGTTCTATTTATATTATGTGCTGCTTTGGCTACAAGTCTGATCGTTATAGCCTTCCTGATTTATACCATCAAGAAGAAAACATCCAGTTGTTGGTGTGGTAATAAAAGTTATACTCACATTAGTGTATCTATCAGCTTTGATGCAAAATAACCATGAAGAAAGTATCTGTCATTGTAAATTTCTCTGTCTTTAAACAGATGTTGGGACAGGGAGTGGTGATCAGCAGAGTCAGCAGGTAAGGTAAACTGAAAACAAAGAAAAATATAAAGTCAATGGTACATTTTACTCTTGAATGTTTGTTTTTTGTTTTTTTTACTCAGACAGTAGTGGTTTACTCTGCACCAAACATCACTTCGAGGAAAAGCAGCAAATTACCACAAAGGAGTGAAAAAGCAGCAGAGGGGGGGACAGTCTGATGTCAGTGCTTCTGCAGTCGAGTAACTGCTGTTATTAGGGTTTACTATATTTTTTATGACAAATGCAAGTGTGAAATGCATTTCAAGCTCCATCGTGGGTTTTATTTAAATTCTGAAACAAAAAATACAGTTATATTTATTGAAAAAATAAATAACATATTATAATAAAATTATATATTTGAATGTTATCACGTTTTAATGTCATTCTGTTATTTTCCACTTTGTTTTGTGATGATGTTTTAGAAAAGGTAGACAGTCATGTATATTAGAGAGTCAACCACATGTACACAGTCAAAAATTTAAGTCTAGAATTGTCTAATTGTGGAAAATTGTGTGGTTACTTGACTCCTTAGATGAAGTGTTTCAAATGTATAGCCTGTGGGCCACATTATATCTGTCCTGCAAGATAATTTCATATGTTACTTATTAATGGCCCATCAGTATGAGGGAGTCAAATCTTCAGCCCTGCTGAGAATCCATGCAGGTAGGGATGGGACTTTTATTGTCATGGGCACATCATGCAGCCAATCACGTGCAAAGACAGACTGGGATCATAACATTATGTGAGAGAAGGAAGGGGGCAGACAAGACAGCAAGTGTAGTGGTACAGCCCGTGTACACAGAGATAAAATACTATAGTTTAAAATGCAAGCGTCTCAGGAAAAAGTGGAGATACAAGCAAAATGAGCAGCATCTGGCTGCATTTCAGTGACACTGGAGCCTCCAAAGCTGAGTCCATAATTTATAAACCTAGAAGCTGGCTAAAGTGATACCCGTTCTAATTTTCAACCATTTTCCATTGTGGTGGACAAAAGGTTTCAAACCTCTCGGGGCCTCAAACCTCAAGGAGGTTTTCTCTAGTAGAAAATGCATAAAAATAAGGCTTTTATGAAAACAGTGAAAAAAGAAATTGCTTTCTTGAAAAAGACTAAGTTTACAGTTCAGTACTGAATATTACATAAAAGAAACTATAAGGAAAGTGTCTTTGAATGGTAAATTCTTAATTTGCTTGATCTGATGCTCACCAAAAACAAGCACAAGTATCACTTTTGAACTTTTAACTGCATTTTTTTTTACAAGTTTTATAGCTTTTCCTATTGAAAAGCCCCCTTATGACCATTCATACAACACAAAGTAAAACAGATGCATCCCCAGATCTGTTTTCATACATAGACGTGTGGAAACTAGTGAAACGTCAGAATCTCAGCTAAAACTCACAAAACCATTTCAACAACCACCAAACTGCTAAAACAACAAACGATAAAGCACAGGCAAACAGCTTCCACAAAAACATGTAAACACAAAGCAGCAAATCCTGTTCACCTGACAGTACGTACACAAATATGCCATTGGATGCTGAAAACAGACATCTCAAAGAGTCAGAAACTGAAGGTTTTGTCTCTCTCTGACCAAAATTCACTGAACCAACAGCAAAAGAAGACCAAAACTACACTTCACATTTAACAAAAGCATAGTAATGAATTCCTACTTGTCTGTCTTACTTCCACCACGACTATGTCTCATTATGCTTCGAGACCAGTTTCGCATCAAAACTCTATTTTCTGCCTTATTTGCTCGCTTATTATGCAGCTGTCAACTGTTGAGCACAGTGTTGTCAGCCGCTGATTTAGTCCCCCCCCCCCAATGACTGCTGACACAATGTCTCTAATAAACAATGTCTCTAGGCAATGTCTCTAATAAACCTTAGTGTGTAACTTTCTGAAAAACAGAAAAGTTTCTGTTTTTCATTTTATACTCCAGAAATGCCAGTTTTTTTACAACTACATTTGTAAAATGTGTGTGACACCCCTGCCTTAGACAGACTTTTGTCAGTTGAGATACTTCCTCAGTGTCTGAGCCAGAGCATATGGACTGGATGGGCAACTTGACAGGGAGGCATTTGTCTCACCTCTTACCTCCTATTTATTTATTTATTTTTAAATGAGGACGTTTTTTTAATACTCTACTGTATACTATATATAGTTGTGAAAATATGTCAATAGAATTTAGCTCAGTAGGCACCTTTTTGGATGGGACTGGACCCCCAAAGGCTCCATAAAGGCAACAGTGTACTCATCCAGCTGAACGAGGAGGTACACTGGATGAACAACTGCTGACCAAGCATTGCTGTGTGACATTTGACCCATCTGCTCCAGTCCAAGGACATATCTGCTGAGTCATCATTGAATCATTCAGTCTTTTGTGCAATCAACCAATCACCTCCCACTACCACCCCCTAGATGAGTCACCGATGCACTCCAAGAGATCCAAGGGTCAGCCAGATCTTCAGACTGCCTGTTTTCACATGAAAACAAGACACATGTTATAATCATAACTAACCCAAAAGCAAAACCCAGTAATTTACTTGGAATCAACAAAAAAATAAAAGTCCTAACACCCTAACCCTAACCCCAGTCCTTTATAAAGCATACAAAGAACAGAGGAAGGATTACTATAATTGCTAATGAAATAAGAAAATTCTGTGTTTAACCAGGTTCTTGTCTTTGGTTTCTTGCTGTATGCAAATGGAGACAGAAAGTGAGTGAGACAACTTGCAGAGAGGCAGTGGTTTTGCTAGAATGGCGATATTTGTCTACCAAGCCTTTCCACAACTATTTTATATTGTTAAAACAATGTCTATGTTTAAAAATATGCAATAATATTTATACATATGATAAAAACTTTCTTTATACTCTCAAATGACTTTGAAAGGGCCTTCTGCGTTTTAGTCATGAGAACAACAAGCAAAGCCACAAGCAACAACTATACTGACAAACTAAAGTTGTGGTGGGCCATTTCTCCACCCCTTGACCAACAACTGAAGCTGTTTACTCAGAACAGAACTCACTGTGTGCTTTAACAGGATATGAAGTGAGCAAAGACGTCAGCAAGCTCCCTTCAAACACCAAGCGTCTACAACTTTATGCATCTCTCATAAAGTGTTACATGTATGCAATATTCATACAACTGTATTTAAATGCATACTTAATGTGATCTTTCAAATTAAAGTACTTATCCATCACTGTGCTAAGAGAGGCACATATGAACACACTTTACCAAGGTTTCAAACCTATAGTCAATAATTTGCCATTAAATAATTTCACTGCCACAAAGGACAGGGAGGGACAATTGATTAGCACCTCCCCTCTTCTGGAAGCAGCTATAAAAACATGTAAAAGTGTATAATTAAAAAAAATAGTCTAGTTAGTGTCCTTGTTGGTGTACCCTTCAAATACTCTTTTAAATGTGTTCTGATAATATTTTTACTTTTATATTGTGTCAATCTGTTAGACTTCTCATATGGATGAAAAAAAACAAGAGCAGCTTCCTGAAACTGAAGTGTAGAGTGAAACAGGAAGAAAAGCCGCTTTGTATTTACACCTTTCTTTGAAAGCCCAACCACAGAAATGCTTAAGTTTCCATGCACTGTTTGTTTGTCAGCGATGACTTTGACTTTAGGTTTAGTTGTCTTTGTGTGCGAAAAGGCAGAATATGCAAAGTAAAACAACTTTTTAAGAAAAAGCTTTTCATGTTCACCCTCTAAACTTCACATTTACTTCTTAAATGCTTGCTATATTGTTATGTGTAAATCATCATGCACATTATTAATGTGAAGAATTTTTTTTAAATTATTATTATTGTAAGCAGTGAAGTGGCAGAACTGAAAGTGGTCTTAGACGGGAGGCTGTCATGTAACACACAAATCTCTAGCTTGACCAAAACTGAGATTGTGGTTTCGTGCTACTATAGATTTTTCTGCCAGGAACAGACACACGTGATTTGGTTGACTGTAGTCCACTGCTTTTTAGGGCCAGATTTTAATGTAGGTGCTTTCATTTTCCTGACATACAATATAACAGGTGAATGTGTGAATGTCTTCCTAGTTACTGTTTTGGTTACACATACCAAACTTTTTCTATTTTTGGTAAACTTGCCCTAATCATGATTAGGGCTGAAAACAGGATCTGTTTTCAGTTTTATGTGTGTATCAGTGTTTGTGTGTTGATAGGTGGAGTTTAGTAAGTTGTTAGCACACAGGTTGCAGCCTAATTAACCCCCACACTTCTGTACTTGTAATGACTTACACTGTTCCAAAAAATAGTAATGTCAAAGTATCTTACTGTATATTTTACAGTTTTGTACTGTCTTTCTAGAATATCATGGAATCTACATAAGTAGACTGTGATTTTACATGTCAAAGGTAAAATAGCACAACATCACTGTAAATATAGTACAAAACAATTTACTTGTTTTTTAAATATATATTTTTTGTACATATACATATTTAGATTGTAAAAATACATCCAGAAATGTATCATAATTTCACAAATATTTGTCTGTTATTTGAGAGAATGATCTGTTAAATTCAAATGTAATACTATGGAAAAATATATAAAATGATAGAAAGTTAATGAGAATAATCAATAATTAAACAGTATTTGAATTATAATTGTGCTGAAAATTTCATGTCATCTAGGTCTGATTCAATAATTCAGAGGTAACAAGTGAAAATATAATTAATAGGGATAAAAACTAAAAAAAACCCATATAAAACATTGCACGGCCACACTGTGATAATTATATATTTTAAAAAATAAATGTAGAGGTAGGAATTGCAATTAATATGAATCTCAAAGTATTCACAACATTCCTGAACAGAAATAGGCCTCTGCACCTGGGGTGAAGGTGTGGCCATGAAAACAATGTGACATGCCATTGGATGTTGGGACACATAATAACATGACGCTAAGCATCGGCCAATGAATGTGAACTAACAACCACAAGGTCGTGGGTATGGCTGTGCTGTAGGAAAACATCCTAATATAAAAGTATTTTACTGCATTTTACAGTTTTGTTCTGTTCTTCTAGAACATCATTAAAGTTACGTAAATAGACTGATTTCACATTTCAAATGTACATTAACGTTAAATCACTGTAATGTAATAAAACATGATTTTCATGATTATTAAATGTATCTGTCTGTACATATGCATATTTGGATTAAAATACATTCACAAATGTATCATGATTTCACAAATATCTGTCCGTTATTTGAAAGATCGAACTGTTGAATTCAAATGTAATGCTATGGAAAAGTATATAACATGA